CTAGTGACACTTGAGAACGCACAGTCAGTTCATCTCTCTCCAGATAGACTGGAACCCAAGGAAATGAGAGGTGAACAGTGAATCTGAGTCCTCCTTCCAGGCTGAAAGGCAGCAGAAGGAACTGCTGGGGGCACAGAGGGTCTGAGGACTGCAAAAAGGAATAAAAAGGAGGGCAAAGAACACTCTCAGATTTGGGAGAGAAGGAAAAGGTTCTGACCTTCAGGCAGGTAAACAATAATTTTAACACTGCTGTGCCATCTTTTCAAGAATGCTCAACTCAAGTCTGGACACAAGAAAGAACAGCAGAAGGGTCAATCCATGACTGGTGAGACTGTCGTTCCTTGGATGGGGAGAGAGCCAGGGTGCAGTGGGGAAGAAGGGACTAGATATTTATGAGCACTTACTGTAGCTGAGGCATGGCATTTTACAAACATTAACATGAAGTCCTCCCAACAATATTACATGGCTGGGAGCTGAACTGCTCTGAAGAATTGCCAGGCCCTCTGTTCCATGTGCAGCATAAGCCCTTCAACAACCCCGTGAGGGAGGTACTAGTATTATCACCATTTAGTAATTGATGGAGCTGAGACACAAAGAGCTTTGTAAATTGTCTAAGACTAGACAACTAATAAGACATTGGGCTCCCCTCTGACGTCCCAGGCTGAGCTCACCTAAAAATTAGAGCTGTGCAAGCAGCCTGGGAAACATAGAAGGAGACACACCAAGTATATGAGCAGATTTTGACAGGCAGAGGTTTCAATATCCAAGTTCTGGGTCAGGCCAGGTGGCCAAACCTCTGGTGCGGGGCACAAGAGGGAGGAGGACTGGGTGGAGAATCACTCTCACACATCCTTCTTAATCCAGCAGATAGACGTCTCCAGGGCAGGCCAGGGACCTCAGCAGAGTAGCTAATTAAACCTGAAGGTAACTATCTAACTTAATAGTAAACTGGGAAGAGAGAAGTTAATGTAATTCATATTTTTAACAGTGTAACTTTTTTTACAGTCTTTCTCTCCTCCCTTTGCTCAAAATATAACTATGACAAAACCCAGCAGAGCTCTGGGTAAGGGCTTTGGATGGCTGGGAGAAACAGTTTGGCTGCTGGGAAATCTGAAGCAGCGCGGCGCTGCAGCACAGCCCTGAGTTTGAATCTTGTTTCTGTCCCTTCAACCAGTGCCCTGGGGAAATCAGTTTACCCTCTGAGCCTGTCCTCCACATGTTAAATGAGGGTCTTTAATACTTCACGGGCTTGTGAGGATAAGAGGATTACATAAGGTGTCCTCTGTCATGTTCTCAGCTCTTTGCAGAACTTCATTAAGTCAGTTCCCTTTTCTCCCCTCCTCCCAGACTTGCCTCACAAGTGCATTACCACTGGGTGGTCAGCGCACCCCCTTCAAGACTCCTGGAGATGGTAGCAAGGAGAACCTGCATTCTCCCCAAGGAAATGCAGGATTGAAGTCACAGAAGAGCTGCCTCTGGGAATTTGCCCTTACCTGAGTACTGGGGCAGGAACACAACAGCCTTGGTACATATATCCAAAAAGCCACCCAGTTCAGAAGGAATGAGGTCATGGAACAGGGAGGGCGAAAGGGCTTTCAGATTAGGAACCTGGGATTTCTCCAGGCTGATGACGACTGTGGAGGCTGGGCGTACAGCATCCTGCTGGCTCTGCCCAGGTGCTCTCCTTGGGTTCTGACCACCTTCCCAGCATCCCTCTCCGTTGCTTTACAGAGCCCAGAGAGTCTCAGGCCCCCCTCACCTCTTTCCAGCTGCCCCAACTAACCCTAGTCCCCAGCATTCCTCATCCCAAGACTGGCTGTGAAGTGTGATACAGCTACCCCAGTGTTCAGGCCCCTCCTTGCACTCTTGGCAGTGGTGGTAGAAAGAGCCCCCCCCACCCCCAGCTGGGTGAGTCACTTCCCCTTATAAGCTTTTATTTCCTCATTTGGTAAAAAAGGACCCACCCCTGTCTTTTGAGGGTTTTATTAAGGTCTCAATAGGAAGTAGCCAAGGGAGTAACAAAGTTAACCAATGTGAGAAACTTACAAAGATTCCAGAAAGCCCACATTTTTGCAGTCTCTGACTATTTATATGAACATTGAGAAAGGGTTAGAACTATTTATTATATTTATTGAACATATAGTAAAGGTTAGAGCTACATTATTAATTTTAAAGAGCAAGTTGTAGAAGAATCTGAATTATTTATGTATATGTGTGTGTGGAGGTCCATCCATGTATGTCTGATTAGTTATAAAAATGAAGGAAGGAGTTTATAGTTAATGGTTTATCTCTAGGGCATGAGATTAGGATGACTGAAGGTCTTCTCTTTGTAAACTTCTATACAGTTTAATATTTTTAATGGGTATACATTGCTGTTATATTTAAATGGATTATATTGATATTTTATTTTACAAATAACTACTGTGATAAACAAAATGATAAAAACATAAATAGTACTAACCAGACCTTTCTTATATCCCTGCCCTTTCCTTTCATCTCTGAAAATGTAGGTTTATTGACTCTTCTTTTCTCACCATTTACCACCCCACCCACTATCCTAGAAAAGCAATAGCCATAAATGAGCAAATCCCTCAGATTCCCCACTCAAATGGGCTCAATTATGTCCCTGAGGAGCAGTGCCTTATTTCAAAGTGCCCTCAGCATTAAACAGGAAGTGTCAGATTAGACTGCTCCTGAACACCTGGTCTCCAGGAGGGAAAACTAAACTCCACTCAACTTCGGAGTTTACCAGGGGACCACAAGGGTTTAGCAACCAGTTACCAAGGGGAGTGAGAGAACAGCTACCTCCCAGTTCCAGGCCTACCACTGCCCACCTGTGCGACCATGCACAAGGCCCTTTGCCTCTCTGGGACTCTATTTCCTCTACTGAATGGGAGTGACAATACCAACCTCTAAGATTGTGGACAAGATCAATAAGGTAATGCAAGTAGAAGCACATTTTCAATTGCAAAATTCTCCTCCCAGCTAAAGTAGAGCAGAGGGCTTACCAGACTTTACATAAAAGAAGGCCTTTTTCTTTTATGTGAAATTCACAAATATACACAAGAGGGAAGGGGAGTAAGGGAGGGTCCTCTGTGTGTTCCTCCCCTGGAAACCCAAACATGAAGAGGAGGGCATGTGTGAGTGAGTGAGTGAGTGAGTGAGTGAGTGAGTGAGTGTGTGTGCTATGTTGGGAAGAGTGCTTTGGAAGAAAGTGGGTGTGGAGCACACACAGCATCAGATACTTGCCTGGAGCTGTTCTAAGTGGGTTTTGAGATCTGCAGGTAGCTGCAGACTTTGGGCCCAGAGCACAGGACAGAGAAGCCGGCAAGGAAGCCTGTTAACTCTGCCCTCCTGCCCTCTCCAGGGCACCTCAGTCAGCAGGCTGTGGCTGGAATGAGGGGGAACATAGAGGCCGGGTGGGGCGGGCAGGGAGGGTGTCCAGAATGCAACACCAGAGCAGGCACAGTGCTCTGTGGGAAAGAACCAGAGCCTGGGCTCCAGGAGACCCCACTCTGCCCCTCCTCAGCTCTGTGACATTAGGCAAGTTGCCACTCCACCCTGGGGTTCATTTCTGCTTCTGGAAAATGGAGTGGGACTAGAACAGGACCCCTCTAGCTCCCTGACCAGTCATTCTGTACCTACCCATTGGCAATAAAGTTTCCCCAAACAGAGGGCCCATTGAGAACAGGATCAGAGCTTCTGGAATTCCTGCCAGGCTCCATCAGGGACAGACACAGGCAGTGTTGGTTCCTGTGTCCTACCCTAACTGTACTGGAAACCTGTGAAGTAATCTTCCTTTCCCTCCAAGAAGGAAAACTAAAGCCAGCGAGGGAGAGAGGAGGCAGACAACAGGCCAATGTGGCATAAGAAGATAGAAGGAGGCTGGGGATACCTAACTGGCACAGCGGGTAACTACAGGGCACCAGGAGAGAAGACACAGACAGTAAGATCAGACAAACCAAACTTTATTCAGAAAAACGTATCAGTAATCACCACTAAACTATTAAATGAGGCACTTCGGTCTCCACTCCCTATTAGCCCTCACGCCTCCCACACCCACCCTCTCTTTGGCCTTCGTAGAACACTGAAAAAAATCTTTTCCTGGGTTTACAAGTTGTCCCAGACTTTTGGGCTGGGAACAGCCCACAGTAGTCTCAGGTTGGATTGAGTCCTAGAGCCTAAGAGGCAGGCCGATGAGACTGCCTCCAGTATCCAGAAGTTCTAGGCCAGGTCAAGTGGCCATTCCTATGGCACAGGACCTCAATGGGGGTGGGGGTGGATGTAGGGGTTCTCTTATAAGTCCTTCTCACAGCTGGAGAAGCAGCTGGAGGCCAAGCGGAAAAGCCAGTGAGCTCTAGAATGTTTCAGGCACGTATGGATGGATAAGGTACCATGAAGGCCCAGGAGGTCTCTGCTCCTGAGGAAGGTCACCTGACCACGGACCAAGCACCAAGAGCTGGGCTGGATCTGAGCTCAGGATGTAGCTTAGATGGTGTTCTAAAAAAAGAAAAGGAAGAAAAGCTGGAGCTAAATCCCACCATTTAGGGCACAGTGTCACACAGCTCAGTTTCAGGTGTCTGGAACCTTCACCCATCTTGGATCTTCCATTGGAAAGTGTTGAAGGGAAGCTGCTGAGCAGAGGCTGGTATCTCTCCCCACTCTGAAACCCTCTGCTGGCCCAGGCCAGAATGGTGTTGCCCACCCAGGGAAACAGGCCCTAGGAGGGGTTGGCATGACCAGCTCTGGAAATCCCCATGGCCTCAGCAACATGGAAACCTGCAACAGAAGAGCTAAAGTCATGGGGCTTCCAACTGCATCTCCAAGTATCCCAGCAAAGCCCACCCCAGGCTCTGGTTGGCACAGGCAGGGGAGCTGAGGGAACAGGCACCCCGCCTAGAATATGGCAGCCGGACCCCAGCCTAACTGAGACATCAAAGAGCTTCATGTTCTGGAATTTCCCATGAGAGAGAAAACAACAAACAAACAAACAAACAAACAAACAAAGAACACAGTTTTAATGAATACGGAGTTTCAGTTTTGCAAAATGAAAAAGTTTTGTAGATGGTGGTAACATCTGCACAACAATGTGAACATACTTAATGCCACTGAATGTAAACTTAAAAAATGGTTAAAATGGTCAATTTTACGTATATTTTACAACAATTCAAAAACATTTTTTAAATAATCATATTAACAGAATCTAACATGTGTTGACCCCACTATATATATAGTACAGTGTGGTCCTGAACAGCCCAAACTGCGTGGGTTCAAATTCTAGATCCACTACTCAACTCACTAGCTGGGAGACTTCCCGGCAAGTTCTTTAACTAGCTGTGACTCTTTTTCCTCATATGGAATATGAGAATAATATAACACACCTCACTAGGGTTGTTGAGGGAACGAAATGAGTATGTCTGAGGGCTGTGACCAGTTCCAGGCACACAGTAGGGCTAGATAAATGCCCTGGCGGTGACTATGTAAAACCTACATAAGTACTCCCACACCCCTCCCAGATCATCACAACTACAACAGAGAAACCAAACACCTCTCCACCTGAGCCTTAACAACGTGTTCACAAAAACCATTCTGGCCTCTTATTCTAGCTTCTAATCCAGAGAGGGCTGAATTTTTTCCAAGAGCATTTAAATCCTTGTAAAGATTTAGCAGAAAAAGTTGACTTGTCACAACTCTTCGGACATTGTCATTATTATTGTCACCCCTCCAACTTGCTCTGAGTAATAACCCTTAAACCTTTAGAAAAGGAGGGGGCTTTTGTGTTTGTTATTCAAAGGCCTAAGACGCCTCCAAAAAACCAAGAAGCATCTTACCTTACAGAGGCTGGGCCAGCTGTTCACCCCAGGTTTAGAGGGTTTTCTCTGGTGAGTGACCACTCCTGCCAGCTGCTCACAGTCATGTCAAGATCTCTTACAGGTGACATGCTTTTTGACTGGGAAACCATCTGGATAACCTTCGCTTCATTTCCCAAACAGTGTAAAGGAATGTTCAAATCCACCAGTTCCCAAGTCTCCCACTGGCCTAGCGAGAACAGCTCTCTTCCCTCACAGACCTTCCAACCGTCCTGGGAAAGAGGAGGAGCAGTCCAAATCTTCAGTCAGACCATAGTCAATGGGTTGGACCCCTTAGGAATGAATGCAAGCAGGAACAGCACAGGGCTGCTTAGAACCTTAAGGTGGGAAAAACTGGTCCAGGTCCAGAGGCAGTTAATTAGCACTGTACACTAAATTACTTGGGCTTCTTTTACACTGGGCTTTCGCAAAGCCTGTGATATGTTAATGAACATCGTGAAACTCCAGGGGTAGATAGCACCTTTGACCAACCCATTTGGCCGTGAAACCCCCAGGGTAGCTCCCGAGCCAGGATTCCCGGGAACACCCACTGCTTTAATGTGAACAGCGCGGGACTGGGAGTCCGTAGACGGCGTCCTGATCATATTATGGCTGTTCCCAAGAGCAAGGGGTGGGACTCACGCTAACATTCCTTGACAGGCGTGTGGGATCCCCAATGCGAAAAGCTGCTGGGAGGCGGGGGTGGAGCAGAGAAGCCTGTGGGACGAAGGCTAGGAAGCTGAGGCCAGGGATGCTAGTGTGCGTTTGGGCCTGGCCTCCACGAACCGCGAGGACAAAGGCGGAGCTGGCTGGGGCGAGAAAAGCCTCCGAAAGTGCAATAGTACACCTACTTCTATGCATCCTCACCTTTGCAGGTGGGCCCCACCCACGACATCAAAGCACCGAGGGATGGGCGGGGAAGGGCTGCGTAAGGCGCCCAAACAATCCCAAACTAAAACGACACTCGTCGCTCATCCTGGGACCAGTGGAGGACTGTCCCAGCTCCGCCCGCGACTGCGCGCCGCCTTCTGCAGCACTTAAGGCTGGAAGAGGGGCCAACCAAAAGGGGGGCCCTTGCGACCGCGGGGCGGGAGAGAGAGGCAATGGCGCAGCCATCAGAGTGGCTGCGATATGGTAACTTCCCCCGGATCTACGCGGCGCCTGTCCACGTCTCTCCCTCAGCAGGGAAGGGAAGGAGGAACCTCGAAGTTCGCAACAGAGCTGTCAGTCCGAGAGTGTGCGTCCGCTTCTCGGATGTAGCCTTGCTGGTCCCTGGAGGCTGCGCATCTCGCGTAGCTGTCCGGACTCAGGGCGGCGGCGCTGCCGTCGGGCGGGAACTGCGTGACAAGGGTGCCTGGGCGTAGGAGGCGGCGGGGACGCAAGGCAGGGGGTGGGTGCCACGGCACACGGGCGCGGGGCGGCGGCGGGAGGACTGGGGTGCTGTCCTCCGCAGGGTCCCAGCCCCGCGCGCGGCGGCCTCACGCCACCTCCTGTTCACCCTGGTAGCGACGGCAGCAGCCGTAGAGCGCCGACAGCAGGTAGAGGCCGAGGCACAGGCCGCCGCAGACGGCAGCCGCCAGGAAGGCGTGGTAGGCGCAGGACATCTGGTAATCCTTCAGGTTGCAGTAGCTGTGTCTCTGCGTCTGGTCGATCATGATGCCCGTCGCGGCGCCGTAGAGCGCGGCTGCCAGCAGGTCGTGCGCCACGTTGACCACGAGCCAGCGCGAGCCCAGCACGGGCACCAGCTCGTGCTTGCCCAGCAGCGTGAGGAAGTAGAGGCCCAGAGTCAGGAGCCAGAAGAGCACGGACACGAAGAGCGCGAAGTGCACGGGGCCCTGGTACCTGCTGGTGGCGATGGTGACCCAGAACGCGGCGCCGGCCACCAGCTGCAGCAGCCGCAGCACGCCCAGCGGGCCGCGCAGGAAGGCCCGCTGCAGGCGCACCGCACCGCGGGCCGCGCGCGCCTGGGGCGGCGGCTGGCGCGGGGGCGGCGGAAGCATGGCCCCCGGGCGCGCGGGCTGCGGCGGCGGCGCCCCGAGCAGCGGAATGGCGGCGCCTTGCTCGCGGGGGCGGCCCGGCCGACGTGCCCGCCGCGGCCTCCTCGCTGGCTCTAGTCGTCCTCGCTTCCTCTCCCCTTCTCCCCTTCTCCCCACCCTTCCTCCCCTCCTCCTCCCTCCCAGCCCTCTACTTTCTCTCTCCCTCTCTCCACCCCTTCTACCCGCCCTTTCCCTTCCCCTCCCGGGTCTCCACCCCCACTCGCTCTTCCCGGCTTCCTGCCATCTCCCTTTCGGTCTTGTTCATACCCTGGCCCCGCTTTCCGGCAGGCGCCAGACTCCCAGCTCGGATTCCTTCCTCCCCAGGGCAGGGTGGAGAGCATCCGCACTCCCCAGCCAACCGTGGGCCTCCCGCTCTGTCCTAATGGGCGAAGTTTGCCACATCTGGGGCCACCCTGCCTGCCCTGCCTCCCCGGCCCCCGTCCAGGCTTCTTCCTGTGGAAAGCTGCCTTCTGGAGCGTTCTCCCAGCCTCTAACTGGGCTCTTTCTCGGTTCCTGGTGGCCACCCCAGCTTCCTGGCCCTTGGCGCTGGAGGCAAACGGTGATGGTCTTGAACTCATATCCATTCTTACCTGGACATCAGGAATATTCTGCTTGTGTCCATCTCAGACAACTTGTTCAAAGTGGGGCTCTCAGACTTTGTCTCAGCCATCTGACTCCTTGCAGTAAGAGAAAGGAACTAGCACCCACCAGGGGCCCCACATGCCACAAAGTCCTGTCAGTCCATTCCGTATATGCTACCCAACATGGCCAGACACAAACCCCCTTCTAAGAGACAGCAAAGTTCTAGTGCTTAGCAAAATGGCCTGTAATGGAGACTAAATGATGCTTTACATTAAGCTTTACATGTATTCTCATTTAAGCCTCAAAATAACCTGAGATATATTTATGTATAGTTTCTTCATTTTACTGAGGCAGGGAAAGGATGCCTTAAAGGGGTTAAGACCAGAAAGCTGGTAATTATAGCTGGTCTCTCTCCTCTCCCCTTCTGATCCAACTTTTGCGCACTGTGGCATATTTCTAAAACACAGACCTGCTTGTTTATTGTACTACTTCCCCTGACCACAGGATAGGGTTCTATCTCTTTTATGGACATACTTCACAAACTGGCCCCAACTGACTTCCAGTTTCTTGGTTTTCCACTTCCTTTCCTTACCCATGCTCCCACACAGCATGCCAACCCCACCAAAACTCTTACGTTCCCTAAAATAAGCTCAAAATGCCCTTTATTCCCAGTCCCCACTTGGCTGGTAAACTCCTGTTTATTCTTCAATGCCCAATTTAAATGCTCCTCTCTTTTATCCAACTTCCCAGGCTGTTGATTACTGGCTCTTCTAGGCCCCCACTAGGAGCATCCCTCTGCAGTCATTTTGAGTCTGCTTACATTATAACCACTGCTTACCATCTCTTACACATCTGTCTGGCACACAGGAGACTCAGTATATGTTAATGGAGTGAATGGCTGAGTAGCTGCAGAAACAGCCATGGAACTGAGAGGAACTTCTTACCCTTGGGACCAGCATGCATCAGACCCCCAGCTGATCCTACCTTGCAGAATTGGTCCCTTATCTCCTGGTCATGGGATGAGTCCACTGGCCCCAGGTCTGGCTATGCAGGTCCCTCTTCCTGCAGCCTGGCTTCCCTTCAGGGAGAAAAGCTATATGATTTCTCAAGAAGAAGCTAATGCGTTTCGCTGCCAACACAGCTCTGTCTGCAGGTACCTGGGGAAGAGCTGAATGCGTATCTTAAATGAACCAATGGTGATACACAACACACATAAGACAGCATGGTGTCAAGGCTCAGGGTACAGGCCCTGAGGCAGACTACCTGGCTTTGCATCATTGCCTCACCATGTCCTAGTGCTGGGACCTGGTGGAGGGGGGCAGGGAGGGATACTTAACCTCTTTGTGCCTCAGTTTTCTCATCTGTGAAATCCTTTCATTTACCCATGAAGTGCTGGGCACTATTGCAGGGGCTAGGGTTACATAATATATATGTGATTATATTACTTGATTGCTTATTACACACTAGGTGCTATGATGAGCACTTTATATTCACTGTTCAATCTAATCCTTGCCAACTGTAAAATAACTGCTGTTAGCTCTGATTCACTGATGGGGAAACCAGGGCTCAGACGGTAAGGGAAGCTGACCATATTCACAGAGCTGACAGGTGACAGTTTAAACAGGAGCCCAGGTGTGGCTGACTCCAGGTCCACATTCAAAGTGCTTTTAAATATTTTAAATACTCTCCCATATTTTATTCTCAGCTACTCTTTTTTTTTTTTTTGAGAGGGCATCTCTCATATTTATTGATAAAATAAATGGTTGTTAACAACAATAAAATTCTGTATAGGGGACTCAATGCACAGTCATTAATCAACCCCAAGCCTATATCTCAACAGTCTCCAATCTTCTGAAGCATAACAAACAAGTTCTTACATGGTGAACAAGGTCTTACATAGTGAATAAGTTCTTACATGGTGAACAGTGCAAGGGCAGTCATATCACAGAAACTTTCGGTTTTGATCACGCATCATGAACTATAAACAATCAAGTCAGATAAGATTATTCGTTTGATTTTTATACATGATTTATATGTGAATCCCACATTTCTCCCTTATTGTTGTTATTTTTTTTAAATAAAATCTGTCCTCTTAGGTGGCTTGTCCAAAGAAAAACAACTTTACTAGTTGTTACTAGGGTGGTGAGTGTGAATGTGAGGACTAACACCTCGGTCTTCTGACCCCAACTTCGGGGCTTTTCCCTCAGCATCCCTTAGCAATCCTTGGACATCCTCAGGGTTCCAGTCTTGAGCAGGGCTGGAGCTAGGATGGGCAGGCCCTGAGGGGCTGAAACTGGGTGCTGGCCTGATGACTGTGTTATGCCACACAAACTATGTGGCTGCAGGAGTCGGGGGGTTGCCTATCTGAATAAACACTGAAAGGGAGAGAACAGAATGCTTCCAACGTCTAAAAAAAGGCATCTGGAGATTTGAGGGTGGGGCGCCACCTGGTGGGCCCAAGGTTTCAGCCTCTGGAGCTAAATCTTGCTCCTTACAAGGAAGCCAAGGCAGTGGCTTTGGGGAGTTATTTTTAGCCTCTGGAATCCTGAAGACATTCCAAGGGGCGGTGGAGCAGACTTTCTGCAAAAGCAAAACCGTGCAGAAAGATCTTGAGTCCTACAACTCAACAAATATGGTATCAAATAAATACACAAACAATCTGGGTGGGGAATTCAGGAATGAGGACCAACTCCTGCTCTGCCCTCGACCTGTTTGCACCCTTCTGGTAGGGAAGGGACAGTTGTGGACACAAAAGGTGAGAATTATAAGGAAAATACAAAGGGAAAGGAGAGAGTATGTGCGATGGGAAGACTGGGGCAAGCTTCAAGAAAGAGTTATTTGTGTCATTTGAGAATGGATATAATTTTGACAAGCAGAGATGGGGGATAGGACTTGGTGGGTGAAGCAGACCACCATGGATCCTGAGCATCTCTGAATGTTGCCGTGGGATATGCTGAGAATGCAAGGCCATGATTGCCCTGAGTGGCAACACAGAGAGTTGTCCCAGTTTTACAGAGATAGTCAGCAGGTAGGGGCCAGGCAAAAACCACAAAAGCAGGTGTGGTTGTTATACGCTTCAAGATCTGCTCTTAGGGAGCTTGTGTATGCTGTTCCCATTTCTCAGCCTATAACAGGGAAATAGAGGAAGGCCCCAGGAAAGAGGGGTTTGTTCCCCCAACTCTCCACCCCATCCACAGTTGGTGCTTAGTGGAGCCCAAGGGTTGGGCTGGAGCCCAGACTTCCCATCAGATGATGGCTCTGTGCTGAGTGCATTTCTTCTTAGCCCTTGTAGCAACCTTGAAAGATAGGTAATTCATTATCTCCACTTGACAGTTGAGGAGAATGAAATCCAGATTAAGCTAGTAACTAAATTTAGATATCCAGACAACTATAAACACTATAGCTGCCTTAGAGTTCCTGAATCTACTTTAACCATAAACTTTCCCCTTAGGTCCAGTGTCACAAAAGACTCATTACAAGACATTACCCTCTCAAACCACAAAGCAAACATTGTGCCTCCTCCACTACCACTTGGGGCTTGAACCTTCTGTTATCACTGGGAACTCTTAAGGATGTGGTGAATCATGGAGATTTTCCCCAACAATGGTTTTTCTCTCTGCTGCTGAGAAATCCCCCCTTAACCCAATAGGTAAACACAGCAAAGAGATCAGAGGTCACAAAAGCCATTAGAGATCTAAGGGGACCTTGCCCTGACCCATCAGGAAGATGTCAGAATAGCCAAAAGCATGGCATTTAGGGGTCAAGAGAAGCAACAAGAATCTTCAGTGGAGTTGCAGTGCTTTGGGAGGCCTGCCTCCCTTGTGCAGCCTTCTCCCCTAATCCACAGCCTAGAGATATAGATGTTATATTTGTACTATAAGGCCTTGCCCCTGCCTCTCCTACTCTACCTCTGACCCAAGCTGGGCCTACCGGATTCCCTCTCCTGGAATTTGGCTGAATGGTCATTCCTGATTGGAGCCAGTTCTGGGTAATCAAAGCTAGTGTATGAGGCAAATTTGGGGGAAATAGAAACTCTCATTTGGCAGAGGAAACTGGTCTGCAGAAACAGAGAGGGCAGTGATTAGGGTTCTCCAGAGAAACAGAACAGATAGATAGCTGGTAGATTTATTACAAGAAATCAGTTTATGCAATTGTGGAGGCTGATAAATCCCAAGATCTGCAGTTGGCAAACGAGACCCAGGAGAGCTGATGGTGTAGTTTAGTCTGAAGGCTGCAGGGTCAAGACCTAAGAAGAGCCAGTGTTTCAGTTTGAGTCTAAAGACAGGAAAACAATCAATGTCTCAGCTCCAACAGTCAGGCAAGAGTTCCTTCTTACTTGTGGGAGGGTCAGCCTTTTTGTTCTAGCCCAGCTTCAACTAACTGAATGAGGCCCACCCACATTAGGGAGGGCAAATCTACCAATTCAGATGTTAATCTCATCCAAAAACACTCTCAGAGACACACCCAGAATGTTTCACCCAATATCTGGGTACCCCATAGCCCAGGGAATCTGGCGCCTAAAATTTAGCATCATAGGCAGCTCTGCAGAGACAAGAGATGAGAGAGAACAGCTGCCTATAACTTGTTCCAGGTCGTTCAGCCAGACTTCGCCTGTGAACTCACTGTTGCTTTACAGTAACCTCCGCGCTACATCTGC